GCTTAATAATTTAAAATATAATTCTCATCATTTAATTTTTCTCTTGACCCAAGATTTGGTGATTTCACAGTAAGCTGAAGAATGATGTCAAAACTTGTATATTTGGGTTTAGGATTATCTCAAATCTGATTTTAACCTACCCTTCCTTTTTATTGCTCTTTTTTATATCAGGTCAATTTTGTTTATTTCAGTAAAGGTCTGTTACTTAGTATAGTCATATTATGTTTGTTGCTAGGGATAAAAAGATGAGATAAACATTCTTTTCCTCAGGAAATGCACTGCCTAGGGGAAATAAAAATGTTCATGTAACTAGTTATAATACATGTAATACATGTGAAAGTGTATGGAACTGAGTACTGGCTTGGTCTTGTAAAACTTTGAACAATGTATTTAGAAAAGGGATTTAAAAAAAAAAAGCATAGTCAGGCATTGTAGTACATGCATATAATCCCACTGACTTTAGGAAGCTCAGGCAAGAGGATTACAAATTCAAGACCAGCCTCAGCATTTTAGGGAGACTTTGTCTCAAAATAAAAAGAAGGACTGGGGATGTAGCTCAGTGGTAAAGCATCCCCTGGATTCAATCCCCAGTACAAAAAATTAAAAAAAAATAAAAAGCATTAAATCACAAGGAACCAAAAAATGGGAAAAGAACAACATAAAAACAGCCTAAGAAATGTTAACAAAATTTTGGAAGCTGGAAAGCTGGTAGGTAAGTGGTAACTGACTTAGCATCCCACAGAAAGCTGTGTACTATTAAATATACCAGATAGGCTCAGAAATTGGAGACACTAGGAACTTCAGAAAAATTGGGTACAGAAGGGGCTAAAAACAGAAAGCATAGTTGAAAATTAAATGCACTGTGAAAAAGTGACTGCCCTGCTGAACAGAGGAAATAAGAAAACAGTGACACATGGAATGGCAGTTACCCCAGAGACTTTATACGGAACAAACAGATCCATAAGTGCCTGGATTTTTTTTTTTTTTAACTCTGGTATTATTTTTTCTTCAAAAGAAATCTGTGTATAATTTTTATAATGTTTGTTTTGATGTATAAAAGGCTTTCCCCAAGTGTACAAGTAAAAATAAGGATTTAAGAATAATGTATCTTATTTGTCTATAGTTATTACACAAATGCCCTGGAATACCTCCATGTACTCGTTTGTGCATACTTCAGAGTAAGAAGCTTATACTTGCCGGGCATAGTGGCACACACCTGTCATCCTAGCAACTCAGGAGACTGAGGCAAGAGGATTACAAGTTCAAGACCAGGGCAACTGGAGAGTCCCTGTCTCAAAATAAAAAATTTTTAGAAAGGGCTGAGGCCAGGCCTGGTGGCAGACCTCTGTAGTCCCAGCAGGAGGATCAAAAGTTTGAGGCCATTCTCAGCAACGCAGCAAGGCCCTTAGCAACTGAGCATGATCCTGTCTCAAAATAAAAAGGTCCTGGAATGTGGTTCAGTGGTTAAATACCCCTGGTGGGTTCAATCCCCAGTACAAATAAATAAACAGATAAATAAATGGGCCTGGGATGTAGCACAGTGTAGGGTGTCCCTGGGTTCAAGACACAGTAAGGAGGAAAGAAAGCAGCAGTGGCCTTCCGTGTTATTCACAGCTGGTCCCTAGTGGTCTTTCCTGTTCACCATTTCTTCCCACAAGTGTGTACTCTGATTATATGGATCGTCTCACTGTATATGAAGTTCTGCATGTTCTATTGTGTCTCCATATCATGGTTCAAATTTTTTTTTTTTAATAGAAAATGCCTTTTATTTTATTTTTTATTTTATTGTTCATCCTTCAGGGATCACTTGAAGTGCTGCCTACACCTACATGTGTTATCCTCCCTTATCCAAGTTCTTCTGTTGATTTTTTCATATTTCTGTTTTGATACTTATTATTTGATTTATTTGAAAAAATTTTGAGCCACTGTTGTATAAGGCTCTGTGTGAATAACAAGAGTATAGTCTWTCTCTGAAGGGTGAGAACTGAGTGTTGCTCATCTTAGATGCCTGGTGTCAGCATATCTTGGGTGTTAGATCAGTCATATGCTTGCCCTTCCTCTTGTCACTTATTTTTCTAGTTAATTTTTAAATACTACCTCATAAGTAGTTATGAACAATCATAGATCTGAGTATGTCACCACCCTACCCCCCTAAAACCTTTGATTTAAAACTTTAAAATAGCATTGAGGGCTCTCCCAAGTGTGACCTCAGCCTTATTTTTCCATTCTCCTCTGCTCTGACCACCATTTTGCCCCTTTCCCCCTTCCTCATCCTTATGCAACTTTTGGTCCATCACCCCAGACCATCCACCACTCTCAGCAGATACCATCTCCATTCTCATTTTTGTATGTGCACTTTTCTCTCCTTGAGATACCATTTCTCATTCTTCAACTGTTAAAATCCTACTCATTCTTGAAGTAGTTGTGGGGGAGGGTGGAGAAAGGAAAGAATTTCCTTCCTGAGACTTCTTTGGCTCTTCAAGCCTCTATAATTAGTAATTGCCTCTTCTTCCTGCTCACAGATTAGAATCCAGGTTTATTCCTCCCATCAGTTCACCTTAAATGTTGTGTGTGTTGAATTGAAAATCAATTTAAAGCATATATACTTCAAATATTAAGAATTTTTAACACTTACAGGTATGCTGTACTCTGAATGAGTAAGGGGTCAGTTTTGTGCCCATACAACTCTATTCTCCAGTAATTCTTATTGTTGAAACTAGGCTAGAGAGGGGAGAATGTCAGCAATTCATAAAGATGGCTGAACATGTTTAGAATTTAAACTTGTAAAACCCGACCTTTTTCCTTTTAGCAATGTTAAGTTATTATGATTCAGCTCTGGTAAAATTGATTTTAAGTCACAGTAATAGTGGTTATACAGAGCCAGGAAGAACTTGCCTGAAAAATCTTTGTGCAGTGTCATATGTGGTATGGAAGAAATCCTGGGCTAAATTGAACTTTTAATCTGCCTAACATTTGACTTTTACTGCCTTTTGTCTTCCTATCTTAGTTATTACTGTGATTTTCACAATTTCATAAAATATATTTTTAAAATTGTGTTTGATGGGAACATGAATCAGAAATACAAAATAACTCTTAGAAGCTTCCTGTAATTAGTGTACAGAGAGGGAAAATGCCTGTTTTCTACTTGAGCCTCCTTTAAAAATGAAGTTGTTCATCTTACATTGGTTTTTAGGTGTTTAGAAATTTGTGGGTCCCCTTTGTTATGTTATTTGCAGGCAGAATTATTCCTAAGTTTGTGTATTCTTCAGCACATAGAGGTACTCAGCAACCTGATAGCAGCATTAAAAGTATAATGATATATTATAAAGGGGTTTCTGTTGTCTAGAGATTGGTAAATTCGAATGAGTATTACAAGCAGCTTTTTGTTCCCAAAATGAAGTGTTGTGGTTTTCTTTATCATAAAAATGCTGCAGAACAAATCAGTTTAATACCTTAATGTACATCTTTCTATATCCTTTTCTGTGCATATCTATTCTACTATGCTTATCAAAAGTAACAATTATTGTGTATATTATTTAAAACAGTCATACTATGCATACGAATTACTTAATCGAGGTTTTGAATGTGATGTACAGAACGTGGTCTTAAGCACTATAGAATATTGAGACAATTATTACATAAAATCCCTACCCTCAAGATGTTTATACTGTAACTGGATAAGGTAGGGTAAAAATATAAGAAGTAGGTCAAGCACAGTGGTGCATACCTGTAATCCCAGCAACTTGTGAGGCTGAGAAAGGAGGATCACAAATTTTAGGCCAGCCTCAGCAACTAAGTGAGGACCTGTCTCAAAAAATAAAATAGGCTGGATGTAGTTTACTGATAAAGTGTCCCTGGGTTCAATCCCCAGGACCAGTTAAAAAATACATATATATATATATATATTTCATAAATGATATATGAAAACACACGTAATAATGTGTATACACACACACACACATATGCATATATATGTGAAGCAATAGGAAGYCAATGCAATGGCTTAACTTTATGGTATGTACTAAGTACTCGGGAAGAATGAAAGTTAAGGCTTCAAGGATAAAAAAGGCAGTTGGGGGTTGTGAGAAGTATTCAGCTTGTAATATGGGCTAAGCCACAGTTGTTTCTTTTATCCCATCATTACTTCAAGTTCTTAGTATAGATGTCTAGGAGAATATTGATTGTTCTTTTGAAAGTAGTGAAGTTGAAAGGAAAAATTGTTATTTTAGGAAGGACTTTAAGATATTTAAGTGTTGTTAGGTGAAGATATGTTTCATGTATATAGTTAAAGAACAGCTTTGAAAACCATCTTCTTACAGAAAATAGATGAGTTCCCAAAGGAGGAGGGGTTGGGAAAATTGATTTTATTTTACACTATTCTTTATTGTATGTAAAGTTGCCATTAAATGCCAGGAGAAAAAATAAATAAAAAATTCCTTTTTGCTAGTCAGTTTAAAGAATGAGGGTTTGGGGGCTGTGGCTGTGGCTTGTGGCCTAGCTGTAGAGCGCTTGCCTAGCATGTATKAGGCCCTGGGTTCGATTCTCAGCACCACATAAAGATCCAAACAAAGGTCCAACAGTGACTAATAAAAATATTTTTTAAAAAAGAATGAGGGTTTGGTTTATTGTGCCAAGTGTTTAAATTTTTGTCTTTGAAATTCTGGCATTTCTTCTTGATTTGCCTCATGGGAATAGTTGGGAAATGAGAGAGATGGATGAGGAGGGAGAGGGAGAGAAAAGAGGGGGAGGTTAGTTGGTTTTCTCTTTTTCTTAAAAATAACTCTTGTGTGCAGTTTAAAATTTCAGATTCTTAAGCTGATCTTGTTCTATTCTTGCTGGATCTCATTATCTCTGTTTAGTTTTTCAGTTATAAATCATGTTTCATGTATGTGAACAGCATTGAGAATGTGACTTTTCTCATGACCCTGTGAGCTAAGATTTTTGCTTTGCATTTCCCAGAAGAAATGTCACTAAACATATACATTCTGCTTTTCCCTTAGGTAAAAATCTCTACACCAATGAATATGTAGCAATCAAACTGGTGAGTAGAATGTTTGTAGTCATTGTAYTATCACTGCTAATATCTTTTTACAGGAAATAGTTGTAAGCATTCATTAAAATACTAGACCTGGGTTTTTTTGCTTCCATATGATCCCACATAGTCATCTTTCTTCAATTATAGTGTTACAGTGATGAATCACTGTATACTATATAACACTATATGTTAGATGCTGCTAACTGTGGTGCTAGCAATGATGAATCAAAATTAGTTGAAAAAAATTGCTGGAAGAACTAGGCATGGTGACACATTCTTGTCATCCTAGCTCCTCAGAAGGCTGAGGCCCGAGAATTACAAGTTTGAGGGCATCCTCAGCTACTTAGGTAGACCCCGTGTCAAACTTAGAAATAGCTGGAGATGTAGCTTAGTAATAGTGTGCTCCTGGGTTTAATACCCAGTACAGAAAGAAAAAAAAAAAAAAAAGCTGAAGAGCTAGTAATTCTGTGGACTCTGTACATTTCACAGTGGTGTCTTAAAATGATAAAGTCATTTGAAATTTTGCTTTTTTTTTCTTGAGCAGGACCGATTCATTTTTTTAGTGTGAGGTGTTCATTAATATACTTAGTATAAGAAAACCAAATCCCGACCATCTAATAATGTCTTTTTAAAAAGCTGTCAAGCATAAACAATATACCTTGAGGCCAAATTGGAAACAGGATTGACTCCAAAGCATTTTTCGTCATATGGAATAATTTGTATGACTAGTTTCTATGGAACTGTGTAAATGTTCATCCTCCTAGTAAAAATACTAGGAAGTTTTCCTGTTTTACCTGTACCTTTGGGCTTTATTAGTTGCAAGTCAGAGATTTAAAGGTTGGAGGAACTATCTTGTAATAATTTAATGCTGTTCTTTTCTAATGAATTGCAGTTATTACATTCATACCTACTGTATGTGGTCTCTTCTTTGATTCAGCCTGTCAGTTTTTGGAGGAATCAGGATTGTTTTATGACAGTTAGGAGATTGTTCTCTACAAAGGGATGGACAGGGAGCAGAGCTTAGATTAGGCCAATTTATGGGGGACCCAGTATTTTGCATTTTGTTTGGTATTCAGAATTCTTTTTGGGGAGATGTGAGCAGAAAGAGTGGTGGTGCATGTAGCAAGCAGGTCAGATATCCTCTCCAATTGAATATTAAAAGATTTTAATCATGGTTTTTTATTTACAGGAATTTGTTCTGTAAGTGTTCCCTAGTACATCTCATTTGCCTTTTCAGTTTTATTCAGAATAATCTTGGGAATAATCTTTGATTATTTGAGACTACTGACAGGAAGAAGTCCTTGAAACACTTTAAAATTTTGTTTTATTTCTTTGTATACTTGTTATTATCCCTTTATTTATCAAGACTTCTTTTGAGGCTTTTTGTTAGGAATAGTTCTTTTTATCTGGATTTCTACTAGGATCATAGTACTCGATCAATATAGATGAACTTATATAGCATGTTATTGACATAATTGACCATTACATTTCACTTCCCTTTCATTACTATTTTATTCTGTTTTACATGCAAAATAATTAAAGCTAAAAATAGGTGTTGAGGGTATAGCTCAGTGGTAGAGTGCTGTGCTTAGCCTGTGTGAGGCCCTGATTTCAATCCCCACAATCAAAAATAAATAATACAAAGGAAAACCTCAACTAAAAATAAAATTTACTTCATCTAGTAAGGTGTATCTCAGTACGGCATTTCTCTTTCAAATACTCTTAAATTAAGACACTTTAGGGGCTGGGGTAGTGGCTCAAGCGGTAGCGTGCTCGCCTGGCTTGCGTGAGGCCCGGGTTCAATCCTCAGCACCACATACAAACAAAGATGTTGTGACCGCCGAGAACTAAGAAAAAATAAATATTAAAATTCTCTCTCTCTCTCTCTCTCTCTCTCTCTCTCTCTCTTTAAAAACAAAAACAAAAGACACTTTAGAGCTTAACAGTCTTGTCTATGGGCCTCCTCTCTTGCTGTTGAGCTTATTCTCCAAGGGAGATATGAAGATAGTAATTGAGCTTTTTTCATTATAACAGGAAATATTGCCTTAAGCATCACACTCCTACAAGGTAGCCATCTGCTCTTAGTTTAAAATTTCAGGCAGGCATGTGTGTTCTAGAATAGCCATGATTCTGGCAAATGGCCAGCTGTCTATGGAAATGTTATCAACATCTGGCACAGAAATGTAAGGAAGCCCCGCTACTGCTGTTTCGGTTCTACTTTGTTTGCATCTTCATTGTGGGCTCTTGTTTCTTCAATTCTTAAGACTTTTAAAAATACACAAATGTACAAAGTAAACAAAATGATGTAATAAATCCCTCCTTTACCCATTACTCAGATTTCTAGGGTAAAAGGATAAAATAAAATTCTCAACATGTTGCTAATCTTGTGATCTTCTCTAAGCTATGGACTGAGTGTTTGCAAGACTCCTGGAAGCCCCACTTAGCTGAAGAGGCTACAGCCATGTGATAAAGAGGTTGGTTGAAGGGTGTCAGTTCCTCAGACTGTGATAAAAATCCCCTAAAGTCTAAACACATGTGGGGTGGATACCCACTTTCAGTCTTGAAACTCTAAAGACTTTTGCTTCTTTTATTTACTTGAGTTACCCAAGATCAGGTTGAATATTTCCTATTAAGGTTTCCAGTATGAAGTTTGAGAATATTAGGTTTAAGAAAAAATCTGTGGTGTTAAGATTTAAATCTAATTTAGATATAAATCTCTTTAGATGTTTGTCATCATCTAAAGAGACAGACAGAACTGTCTTTTTCCTGGTATTTTATCAACCTCTAGTTCCACATTGACTTACCTTCTTCATTCACCCTTTTTGTTTGGTTCTTTATAAGTTTATCAGTAGTGAATTTTGCCAGTGGACAGATTCTGTAACTGTCTGTTTTGATGGTGATATAGATGAACATCTTCAACCAAATGAAGAAACTCTCACCAGTGATCTCTCTTTATCTGAAGAGATAAATGAATAAGAAACTTACTACCTTATTATTAGCATTACATACTTTTCTTTTGATGATGAGAATGTTGAGAATCTTGAAGTCCACTTCCACTGATTGTTGATTTTACACTCAACAAAGAATATATGTTCTTTTCCAACCTGCCTACATTGATTTAGGTAAAACTTCCTAAAAATAGGAGGATAAACTTTATGACTTCAAGAAAACTTTTGAATTCTGTGATTGATGGATTCTGTGTTTAAAAAAAATGCATAAAATTCAAGTGGTTTCATAAAAGAGCCTTCAAAGATTATAAAGAGTTAAAAAATAGGACCAATTAGGAAAGATTAAAGAAATTGAAATTACTTTGCTTGAAGAAAGAAAGATTAGGAAATGATTCAGTAGTTTTGTTATTTGAAGATAGCTATTATAATATTCACAGGTTATCCAGGAACTTTTTTATCTTATTATCCAGGATGTGAGAGAAATAGGTATGTTTCAGTAATGAAATTTGAATTAAATACCAAGGCCTTCCAAACCATGAAACTTGTTGAACACCAACACGAATTATCCAGAAAGGCTGTGGAATCTACTTCATTGGAGTGTGGACAAATAGCACAAATAACCCATCAAAGGGGAAACAGTCTTTTCAACAAAAAGTGCTGGTAAAACTTGATATCCACATGCAGTAAAGTTGGATTCTTACTTTAYATCATATACAAAAATTAACTGGCTAGAACAAAGATCTAAATGTAAGATCTAAAATTATAAAACTCGATGGAAAACATAAGGAAAATACGCTGTGACATTGGATTTGGCATTGACTTCTTAGATACAACACCAAAATCATAGGCAATGAAAGAAAAATAGATAAATTAACAAATTGAATTTAAAACTTTAACAATATTGAAAACTTCTGTACATCCAGGTACACTGTTAACTGTAAGAAGGCAACCCATCAAATGGGCAACAATATTTTGAAAGTATTAAGGAATGATATCCAGAATTTACCATTTTAACCATATTTAAGTGTACAGTTCTGAAGCATTAAGCAAGTTTGCATTGTTGTACAACCATCACCACCATCTGTCTCCAGAACTTTCTTCCCCACCTGCACCTTTGTGCCCAATAAACACTACTCCATAGTCCCTCCTATTCCTAATCCTCATAATCACTGTTCTGCTTCCTATGAATTTGATATACTTCCTATACTCAATACTTCATATAAATGGAATCATACTATGTGTGTCCTTTGCAACTGGCTTATTTAACTTAGCACAGTTTCTGCAACACTCATCCATGTTGTTATGTAGCACGTGTATATATATATATATATATATATCACATTTTATCTATGCATCTGTTGATGGACTCTTGGGTTGCTCACAACTTAGATATTGTGAATAATGCTGTTAAAAATATGGTTGTGTAGATATCTATTTGAGTTCCTACTTTTAATTCTTTGGAGTATATATACCCAGAAATAGAATTGCTGAATCATAGTAATTCTATTTGGGGGGGGGGTACTAGGGAGTGAACTCAGGGGCACTCAACCACTGAGCCACATACCCAGCCCAATTTTATATTTTATTAGAGACAGGGTCTCATTGAGTTGCTTAGTGCCTCATCATTGCTGAGGCTGGCTTTGAACTTGTGATCCTCCTCCCTCAGCCTCCCGAGCCTCTGGGATTACAGGTGTGCGCCACTGCACCCTGCTGCATCATAGTAATTCTGTGTTTAATTTTTGAAGAATCATCATACCATTTTCTATAGCAGCTACACCATTTTACATTCTCACTAACAATCTTAAGGGTTCCAATTTCTCCACAACATTTGACAATATTTTATTTTCTGTTTTTTTATAATAGCTATCCTAACAGGTGTGTTGATGTTGAGTTTTTAAAAGAGAGATCATGTTCTTGGTGATTTTTCCAGAATACAAAAGGGACAGGGAAACCCTATCTTACAGGATGTTTGGTTGCATTATGCATTATTAGAAATTTGTCTGATATACTGTTAGAATAATTAACTATACAGTTCTTTATTTGGTATAGAGCAAAACGTGGTTGTTTGCTTGCTTTATCTCTGGGGTTTTTCTTGTTTGTTTTTGTACTGGGGATTGAACCCAGAGGTGCTTTACCACTGAACCACATCCCCAGCCCTTCCTTCCTTCTTTATTTATTTATCTATCTATCTATCTATCTATTTATTTATTTATTTTTGTGGTGCTGGGGATTAAACCCAGGGACTTATTCATGCAAGGCAAGCACTCTACCAAGTGAGCTAAATCCCCAGCCCTTTTTTATTTTCTATTTTGAGACAGGGTCTTACTAAATTGCTGAGGTTAATCTCAAACTTGACATCCTCCTGCTTCAGCCTCCCGAGTTGCTAGGTTACAGGTATGTGCCATTGCACCCAGCTCTGGGTTATTTCCAATACTCTCATTTTTAGAAATGAGAATATTACATTATTTAAAATTACATATTTAAATTATTGTCTTTAGTTCTCACAAATGTAAAATGAAATTTATGTAAGAATGTTTCTAACAACATTGTTCATAGTATTGAATGCCAAATTTAGTGTATATACACACATACACACATGGGAATACTTGAACCATGAAAAATATTATACACCTTTACTTACTGTAATGGAAAGATGTCATCATTATCACATTGTCCAGTTAGAAAGAATGTTACTGAAGAGCAGATATACTGTGATTTCCTTTATGTAAAATCCTATTTGTGAGTCTGTAGTATGTATAAATACATGGATAAAGAAATACTTGAAAAAATATTTACCAAAATGTTAATAGTGGCTATCTTTAAAGTGGTAGGATCTCCAATTACTTTTACTTTGTTCTTGGTTTTTGTGTATTTAAATTTTTTGAAGCATGTATTATTTTTCTAATAATAATAAATATTCCACCCAAAATTCATAATAAAACTATCAGGAAATAGGTGCTGATATTTTTTTAAAAAAAGCTTTGTTATCTGATTTCATGGGAAAATACATTTCAGAAAAGTATATTATGTTGAGAGAGCTGTCCCTGAATGATGGTTCATGGATAATCTAATTTTATTTGACTATCCATGAAAGGGGTTGTATGTAATTTTGCTCATCATCTTTTAGCTGTACTTTCAAAGACAAATTGTGATAAGAAAAGGCATATATCATATGTGAATATCATCTCTAAATCATTAAGTGATCTCAGCCCTTGTTTACTCCAAAAATCTAGGAATAGAAAAATTCCATTTGTCTAAATCTGATCACCGTTTTTTTCCTTGGGTTTCAGGAACCAATAAAATCACGTGCTCCACAGCTTCATTTAGAGTACAGGTTTTATAAGCAGCTCGGCAGTGCAGGTAAGTTCAAGTTTCTTTGCTTGTTTCTTCCACGTAACTTAGTGGAAACCCTGACCTATGTAATTTTTTTTTTTTTTTTGGTCTGGTTTACCCTTTCTATTAGACCATATGTCCCTTGCTCACCGGATAGGTAAGTATACAGTTAACTAAAAAGTTCCTTGCTATTTGGTTCCTGGCTGGGCAGTTAAGTTAACTGGGGATTTGCGATACCATGCCCTTGCCCATTGATCAGCCTTCAAATGTTTTTCCTTGCTTCAAATATACCTGGTGTGAGATTTTGGCTTTTTTGGTAGTTCATTCATTCTTTTCATTTCTTTATGTATTCTAAGGGAAAGGAGAAAAGCTTGATAATTTGCAAGCTATATTTTAGTGCATTGAGGTACTTTCTGAAATAACATAACCCTGTTATTTTTCCATTGTTCTCATTAATTTGAGAGAGCTGTCCATATGATTGTGATAACCTTTGACCTTTGGTGATTTTTGAAAATTAAGGGTTTTTTTTAAGTCTTTTTTTTTTAACTTACAAGCTCTAATTTCTAAAGTGTTATTGGCTTCCAGAAAAATACTTTGACTAAGCAAATGCTACCAACTCTAAATAGGCTACACCTATAGAACGTGAATTGTTCAGAACTAATTTCTTTACTTGATATTAGTAGAAATTCCTCTACTTCATGCTTACTTCAGTGTGATAGTTTTATGTGAATGATTGAAGCATAGTTTCTATTTCAAATATCACTATTGAAAGTATTATTGCGGCTGGGGTTTTAACTCAGTGGTAGAGTGCTTTCCTAGCACATGTGAGACACTGGGTTGGCTCTCAGCACCACATAAAAATAAATAAAAATAAAGGTATTGTGTTCATCTACAACTTAAAAAAAATTTTTAAAAGAAAGTATAATTGAAGTATTGAAGGAATTTTATTTATTTATTTGTTTATTTTTAGTTGTTGTTGATGGACCTTTATTTTATTCATTTATATGTGGTGCTGAGCATCAAACTCGGTGCCTCACATATGTGAGGCAAGTGCTCTACTATTGAGCCACAACCCCAGCCCAGGAATTTTATTTTTATTTTCTAAAATATAAAATTATATAAGAACCTTTGGTTTTTGTTTGTTTGTTTACACCAAATAAGTTATTATTTCCTCCTATCTGTTGATTGAGCTGTCATCTTTATTGCTGTTTTTAGATTAAAGTATGGCTTTTTTTTTTTTTTTAAGATCCCTGTAAGGTCTGATACTATTTCTCAGTCTGACAGTTGTAATAGTTATCAAAAGCTGAACCCTTGGATTTTATTCAAGTCTTGTAACCTGACCCTGGCAGTAATCAGCTATAGTCATAACCTCTGAAGGCCATGAGATATTTGTCTTTCATTAAATTTAATTTAAGTTCCTGTTCACAGTAGCCTCTTGACATATATTTGTTGATTGACCATATCTTTAAACATGTAATGTTCCTGCCATAAGATCTGAGACTGGCAAATGAGTTTAAAGGATAACTTGAGGCTTATGTTTCCTCAGAACTAAATTTTAATTGTTGTTCCCCTTATATTCTGTCTGGTATCATCATATTTTTCTGAGTTTCATAAATTTCAGAGTGATAATTACCACAGTCCACTCAAGATAATCACAGCCCRCTTAAGATAACATATACATGTCTCACAAATCTAAGACACAGGTTAAAGTTATGCTTAATCCATTCCATTTTAGAAGTTTTGCTGGGCCTGGGGGAATTGACCAGGCCAGTTTACAGAATTTTCACTGTAAATCCTTCTAGATATAACCACAAGATCAGGGCAGGCTTCCCTTTTCAATGTAGAGCCAAATAGCCATGTGCCTGGAGTCCCAGTAACTCAGGAATTTGAGGTGGGAAATCACTTGAGCCCAGAAGTGTCATCTCAAAAAGCAAAAGAGGGCTTGGGGCTCAGCGGTAGAGTGCTTGCCTAGCATGTGCAAGGGCCTGAATTCAGTCCCCAGCACTGCATAAAGCTGAGGAGGTGGAGAGTTGGCCAAAAAATCTCATTAACTTGTTATGTAGGAATAGAATCTGTATTGCTGGGTTCATAATCTCTAAATATTGATCACTGCAGAGTCTTGAATTTTCAGCATTCTCTGTGCACTGAAAACAAGGAGTAGATAGACCATTGGAGGAGGCTCTTCTTCTTCTTCTTCTCTTCCTCCTCCTCCTCCTCCTCCTTCTTTGTGAAAGGAGTACGATTTATTTAAGAGAGGCAAATCTCCAGCTTTAAGAGACAAAGCTCCAGCAAGGGGAGAAGACATCTAACAGGGGTTTCCCTGGAGGCTTCTCTTAAGTGAGTTTCATACAACACCTAAGTAACTGGATAATGTAGACACAGTGGGTTACTGGCCTACATTAGCTATTTCACATAGTTGACTGAATGCTTTTATGGAATTGTATTAAGCTGAAACCTGTAAAACTTTTTTATTTAAGTTGCCATCAATCAAGGCTTTTTGTTTTTTGTAGTTATTGAATTCATTCTGAGCACTTCAAATATAATTTTATTTTATCCCATTATTACTAAATATTGGAAATATTTTTTTCAATTCTGATTGTTTTAGCCTATTGGTGATTTTATATTGATCATTTTTAAATTGTAACTGCATATTTCCTCCCCCCAATAAGATTATAGTCTCCTGGATAACAAGGCTTACAGCTTCTTAACTTTTATATCTCAGAGCCCAGTCAGCAGTAAGCAGTTCAGTGGCAGTAAGAAGTTAGGAAGACTGAATAAGCTTGCCGTTTTAGATTGTTACCAAATTATTATTAAAAATATTTCTTGAGGATGGCCATAAAAAATGTGGGGTGGGCACTGGGGCTATAGTTCAGTGGTAGAGCATTTCCCTTGCTTGTGTGAGGCACTGGGTTTGATCCTTAGCACCACATAAAAAAAATAAGTGAATAAGCCTCTTCAATAAACGGTGATAGGAAAACTGGAAATTCATATGTAGCAAAATGAAATTAAACTCTATCTCTCACCATGCACAAAACTCAAAGTAGATCAAGGACCTTGGAATTAGACCAGAAACCCTGCACCTAATAGAATAAAAAGTGGGCCCAAATCCTCATCATGTCGGATTAGGCCTGGACTTCCTTAACGAGAGTCGTAAATCGCAAGAAATAAAATCAAGAATCAATAAATGGGATGGATTCAAACTAAAAAAGTAGCTTCTCAGTAAAAGAAATGATTAGTAAGGTGAATAGAGAGCCTACAGAATGGGAGCAAAATTTTAACACAGGCACATCAGATAGAGCACTAATCTCTAGGATATATAAAGAACCCCAAAATCTTAACACCAAAAAAACAAATAACCCAGTTAATAAATGGGCCAGGGAACTGAACAGACACTTCTCAAAATATGATATACAACAATCAACAAATATATGAGGGGCTGGGGATGTGGCTCAAGCGGTAGCGCGCTCGCCTGGCATGCRTGCAGCCCGGGTTTGATCCTCAGCACCACATACAAAGATGTTGTGTCCGCCGAGAACTAAAAAATAAATATTAAAAATTCTCTCTCTCTCTCTCTCCCCTCTCTCACTCTCTCTCTCAAAAAAAAAAAAAAATCTTAAAAAAAAAAACCAACTACAATGATCTCTTTGCTTCTGGAGTGATCCTAAAGGAGTGGAGGAATTCATCGTGTCCTTGTTAAACACTTAATTCTACTTCACCCTGCCTGGAAAAAGTCTCAAGGACTCTAGGAATAAATTTCATATCCCAGCTTATTTTAGTCTAGGCTGTCATGTCCTGGCTTTCTAGTAGCTATTCTGATTGTTGACTATTCTGTTATAAAGAAGATGCTAATCCTTAAATAAAGAAATGACAATAAGATCCTTATTGAAACTTCATAACTACAACAAAGCCTAGGCAAAAATCTCATTGGGCAGAGAAAACAAGTGAACTTGCTAAATATCAAATAGGCATGTCTTTTGTATTTAAACACCCCCCTCCCATTTTTTAAGTACAGGGAAGGTATAGTAACTTATTCAGGGTCACACAGTAAACAGACCCAAACTTGGAATGTTTTCCCCATGTTTTTGTAGAGATTTTTTTTTTATTGGATTCAGGTATCTAAGTTCATCAATCCCTTGCCTAATTATAAATCAATGGTGGGAGATAGTTATAAAATTATTTAACTGGGGCAAAGTCTTGGAACTCTCCCTTTCCTTCCCCCAAGTGAAAAAGTCGTATTTTCTATTCACACGGTTTCTCTAAGTTTTGTGACATAGAGAGCTTTGTTACCCCTAGAACCATTTATGGGCTTTGTAGGTTTTGAAAGTAAATTGATTGTTGCCAAATGTGGTAGCACACACCTGTAATCCCAGCGACTTAGGAGGCTGAGGAAGGAGGATTTTTACATTTTTACAAGACAATCTCAAAATTAAAAATAAAAAAACTGGGGCTGGAGTTGTTGCCTGACATGTATGAGGCCCTGGGTTCAATCCTCAGCACCACATATAAAATAAAACAAAAAATCCATTAACAAGTAATAAAAAATTTAAAAGCTGGGAATGTAGCTCAGTGGTAAAATGCCTCTGGGTTCAATCTCCAGTTTAAAATAAAAAGGGAGGAAGAAAAAAATTTGGAAAAAACCTTTTGTTCTCCAGTTGAGTATGAAGTTTTCATAAAGGAAGAAAGAATAAAATAGAAAACTTGGTTAAAAAAAACAATATAAGAAAAAACTAGTTCCCTTTTTGCCATGTGTAAATTTCCCAGAGGTCTTTCTATTAGAAATATTATAAAGGGAAGAGCTATACCAGTAAGTTCAGGGAAAAAATTATATTAATTAGTATGAAGAGGCTGTCTTGAGGACTGAAGATTTCCACATTACCATCTGTAATTATAGGCAGTGTGAATCATCTGAGAAAACTAAGAATTGGAACAAGGGAAAAAAAGTTCATGCCAGGTTTTTCCCACTATCTTCTGTGTGATTCATGGTTAACTCTGTGCCCCTGCTGAGTGCCTCAGTTTCCTTATTTATA